TGATTCGAATCAAAAATTAAGTGATTCGATTCGATTCGAATTCGAATCGGTTCGAATCGGTTCGAATTTCATTGATTTGTTCGGAGCCTTATCTATTTCAATATACTTGATTTTGTTTAAAAGTTCAGATTGTTCTTTGTGCATACAAATTACCATTACTTGACCATTAGGGTAAACATCTACATGCATGTATAATAAATTAGAATAATTAAATTAAATTAATATAGAAATTTTTATAATACTTACTAATATTTCTAATGTATGGATCTTGTTCATTGGTATTTTTTTGTCATAAATATTCATGCAAAACTCCTAAAAAAAAAAAATAATAATTAGCTTCTTATCAAATTTTAATTAGAACTCCACAAACCAGCTCGTACACCAAAAAAAAATATAGTCAATATATTTTAAAATACTTTGGCTTGTGAGTTGGCTCTTTGGAGTTTTAGTCTTAAAGAAATACTAATTTTAATTATCTTAAAATACCTAATAGGTCAGATCCATAAGGATATTGAGCTCATTTTTGTTTACAAATATAGTAATTTAATTTTAATGAATTGTTTAAGGAGGGATGAATATCATTAAGATTCACATTGTTAAGATATGCTCTTACAACTGAACCTAAAGTATTTAATAATAAGTCTGTGATCTTTAATTATAAATGAAAAGTAATTATTGAAAAATTTGATACAAACGTGTTAAAAGTTTTCTAGCAGTTAAATCCAAAATGTCATCACCATTCAAAATTTGTTGCAACTGAGCCACAATGTTAGTTGGTGTTTTAATTGGAGGAGGAGGTGGATGCTCATGCACCCCTTTGGATATAATAACAATAATAGGACATTTTATTAGATCCAAAGGCTCTATACAAATAAATTTGACTTTGCAGGTCTTTCTGATTATTGGGGCATCAAAGGCTATATTATTTGATGTGTCTGGATATCCTAAGTGAGATTTTATAAATTTAATTAGCTTTTTTTTTCTTAAAAAAAAAATTGTATACATGTGATTTTATATATGAGTCTAAGTTGTCAAATACTTACCACATGATGATCTATTACTAGATAAATGAAAAATTGAACTACAATTTCCTACAGAAATTGTGTTTATTGTAGGATTCTAAATAAAGAAAAAATAAAATTTATTTATTTGATAGTATTTTTATAAAATAAATATCAAAATTTTACCTGATTATATTCATCTAAAGAACAAAAAGAAAAATTTTCAAATAATTGATAAAGACAATTTATATCTATATGTGAATCTGAGATAGGAATATATCTATGAACTTCATTCCTTTTCCATTTTTGACATCCAATAAAATACTTTTTTATAGTAATTCCATCTATCTATTGAACAGTATCAGATATTGTTTTCAGTTATTAATTATACAGTTGATTTATAAATTACATAAAAAAGAGTTAAAGATAGAATAATTAAATACCATTTGGAAATGATATTTTAATGTAGGTTTACCATCACACTGAATTTCTTCATTATTATCACCATGAAAAACAAATTTACAATTAATTTTGAATGCAGCAACATATTGACTAGAAAAAAGATCAGTCAATATATATGTAATATTAATATATATGTCTAATTGATTTAAATTATTTACCATAAAGTAATTTCCTGTGATGTTAATTCATTATTTTGAAATATGTTTTCAAAAATCCTATCTTCAAAGATAACATTAGAATGTTGATAATTAATTATTTCAGGTGAAGCAAGTTTACAGACTTTGACACCCTGACATGTTCTTTGTTCAACTTTGCATCTTACACCTAAAAAAGGACAAAATACAGTCGAAATTCCACCAGGGTTACCAACTGAATATTGTATATTTCTCATGCCAAAAATTTTTTTTGCTTCATCTGGATTAAAGCAAGACACATTGTAAATACTGGCAAATCCATTTTCCAATGAATAAGGATACTCTTGAAATTCTAAATAGAATTTAATAGTTTCAACACTTAGAGTTCTTGTAAAATTATAATATGGATTGTACTAGATATTATTATAAAAAAAATCATTTATTATTTTGTGATTATTTAACAATGTAAATTAATAAAATAATTTTAAACCAAATTTTTTGATATACCACTTCTTCCAATTCATTCTCATCATCACTTCCCATAGAATTATTATATGAATTGCACTATGCATTATTTTAAAAGAAATAATTATTGTTTTGTGATAATTAATTAATAAAATAATTAAACAAATTTTTCAATTTACTTTTTCCAATTCATTCTCATCATCACTTCTCATAAAATTATTATATGAATTGCACTATTTATTATTTAAAAAAAAATAATTATTATTTTGTGATTATTAATTAATAAAATAATTCTTTAAACAAAGTTTTTTGTTTACTTCTTCCAATTCATTTTCATCATCGCTTCTTATAAAGTTGCACTATGATTTTAAAAAAAATCATTATTATTTTGTGATTATTAATTAATAAAATAATTCCTTAAACAAAGTTTTTTGTTTACTTCTTCCAATTCATTCCCACCATCATTGTTATTATCACCAGAGATTATAGTATCTAATGAATCGTTGTCAGAATAATCTTTGTTTGAATTCATTTTTCAATTAAAATCAAACCAAAAAAAAACAGACACGTTTTTTCTAAAGCGCATATTAATATGCATTTATTGTATCACAGCTACATGAAGATTATGTAAGATTGTGTTTTGCTTCGGTAGTTTTGTCAATTTTTTATTATTACAATAATATATAAATAAATTATTAATTGTTTTTATACTAGTTGATGCATCATTAATTGAAGTAATTAAAGGAATGTATAATGCAGGTTGTATATAGAAGCATCATTTTGTAAAGATATAATTGATGAAAGATTCACAGTTGGTAGAGATTCTACGAACGTTTATTATACCAATCGTAAGGATACCAGCTGCAACTTTTGATGATGGTTGCTACCATCTTTGCGTCATATAAAAACAATTGCAACCACTGGTT